ATTGTCGACGTATCGATGATAGTTTGAACGTTTTTCGTAACATCTTTAACAACCATATATTCATCATCATTCAATTTGTTGTCATTACGGGTCAATTCGTTATTGTCCAATATGCCGGGAAAGCTTTTGGCACTGTGCCACTTAACCATTATCAATGGCTCGTTACCATATTGATCGGGTCTCTTTCTCTGCCCGTGGGTTTAATAATCAGGCTTATTCCCAATAGTTGCTTACCAGAAAGTGCTATAAATGAAGATTTTAAACCAAAGATCAGCATAGAAAAGAGGAGGTGGGAAGCTGCCGGGTCAAAAGTGATGCAAATGAATATTTTCACGACCGTGAGAAAACATAAGCCCAAGTCTCTTCCGGGAAGTAGAAATAACAGTTTGGCCAGTATAGCTTTACAAGCGCTTAAAAAAAAATAATTTTTAACAAATCACGCTTATTGGACAAAAAATTACAAGTGATTGTAGGGAGTCAATCCCAGAGGTTAAGGCCGCTGATATATCCAACGCAGTTCGGAGTTATTTCTTAGTTAAAAATTACATCTATCCGATAAATATTCTTAAATTTGATTTTATTGATTACACATTCTCTGAAGAGAATTATTCTATGTCATCTATTAAATATCTATTAAATAAGATTTTTTTATGTCTAATGCAAAATATCAAAACTCCGTGGATACTCGCAGTACTGATCTCCCACATGTATGACCTGAAAAATACCTGAACGAAAAATAAAAAAATTTAAATGATTACTGATGAGTCGGGAGGATACAAAAATAAAATACCTTGTTGTGAAGTGTAAATCGAATGATTATATTTGTGAATATTCATAACGGTTTGTGTTTCCAATATCCGACCTGGTTTACGTTCTTTACCGTTAATCAGCAATTCTCTTCGGGTATAGGTAAATCGGAAGGGTGGAGTACCTTTAAGGTAATTAAATAAAAAGAAATCAGTCTAATCGAAACAAAAAGTTATGACCTCAAATATTCCAAATTACCAATGAATCTAATATTAATTTCCGTCTTGTCGCCTTCTCGAATGTCGGATATAACGTCTCTACCTTCTGAAACAATGGCAGTTGGAAGATCGTATATTATTTCAGTCAAATTTACACGTCCACAACATTGATTTTTTTGATGACAAATTCTAGTAAGAGTCATATTTCCAGG